GGTGTAACAGTGTTTTTAGAGTACATAGATCACATCTGTGCACAAAGGAGCTTGCAATCTAATGTCCCCAACACAGTCTCGGGACCCTTTCGTACCTATGTGTGTGTCCATACACACCTTGGTATGCAAGTGTGTTTAAAGGAGAACTATGAGGTGAGTGAAAATCACTCAGCCTCATAGTTGGAGCCGACGTGTGACAATGAAACTGTCACAGGTCGGCTCAATAGATCGGGAAGTGAGCGAACATATACCGTCGCTCGCTCACTTCTCAATCCTGTCCCTGCAGAGAGCCGTGACTGTCAGTCACAGCTCCCTGCAGGGATTCAGGCAGGGACAGCGCTGGCGGATCAGACAGGGGAGGGGGCGGGTACAGCTGGCTCTGCCTCTAGATAGGCAGAGCCAGCTGTCAATCACGCAGTTGAGTGGATCTTGACAGTAATGTCGGGATCCGTCCCGTCTGCGGCGGTCTCTGTATACCGCGAGCTATAGCTCGCAGTATACTGAGCTTTGGGTCACGGGAGGACGCTAGTTTGTGTCCTCCCGTGACCCTTAGGACAAAAACACTGACCCCATAGTTCTCCTTTTTGAAGTGCGCCTATAATAGGGCGCAGCGATGGGCGTCCACTGAAGATGCATCATCACTGCGCCAAAACTGCTCTTTGATAACTCAAGTCTTTTTTGACCAATGGTTTCCATAAACCCAAGTGGGCCAATTTTGGGTGGAAACAATTAAGCCGTCAGTGCGGCTTTGTATGGAAAGCAGAGTAGGTGAAAAAAATACACACACGGGGAAAATGGACTTAAGAGTTGAACTTCTAATAGGACCCCAGGACAGCAACATTGAGTGGAGAAGGGTTAGAACCCTTGTCAGGTTCCTATAGCTTGAGTTAGGCACCGGAGGAAGGCATCAAAAGCAGAAAACATAGTCCAGATCTAATTTTACTCAGATTCTTGTATCCTAAACATGCAAAGCATTTCGGAGGTTCAAAGGGTCACCTTTCATCAGGGTACTATTAAACAAAGTGTGTACTTGACTTGCTGCTCTCTCTCCTTGTGCAGGGTGACTGGTCTTGTCTCCGACCCCTCCAGTCGTTTTTTTGCAGGCAGCCTGTAGTGGGTGGGGCCTGCTGCCCCCGCCCCCCACAGCTCTGCTCTCTGCACGGGCTGTGTACAGCACAGTAATGATGTCATGGCCAGTATTACAAGGTAATACGCATCCCTATTTGCAGAGGCTGAAAGTGATGTGAAATATAAAATAGGGCTATGGAAATTCAAGATTAATTTCTCGATTAATCGTTAAACTTTTTGATCGATTTTAAAATTATTTTGATCGCTAATGAAAACACTCACCTCTCCGCCGGCTTCTGGGAGTCCCGTCGGCGATCCATTGACGTCACGGACATCGACGTCACCGGACTCCTCCCCCCTTCCGCAAGTGGCTCCGTTGGCAAACGAAGGGAAGGGAGGAGGAGTCCGGTGGCGTTGATGTCCGTGGCGTCACCGGACTCCTTCCCCCTTCGTTAGCCGACGGAGCCACTTGGGCCGGTGAGTTTGCCCAAACTGTCTAAATTGGAACTTCCCCTCACTTTGTGGTTGTTTCTACTGGACAGAAGGTGAATGGAATCTCCCCCTTGGGACATAGTTGGCCTAAATATCTTGATGGGGGTTTTAACCCTTCCCTACTCTATCCAAAATTCGTGACCTTAGATATACTTTAAAGTGGAACTTCAGCCTAAACTAGGTGTCACTGGGTCAGGAAGTGAAGTGAAATCTGCTCCTGGTGTACACAGAAATAGACAGCTGGCAGAGTTTCTGATCCTTCCCTACTCTACTTGGGTAATGTTTGGGTTGGAGTCCCAGTTTAAATATTTCTATTTGTGGTCGGGATGCCCAGGACGTCTTTGTTTACGGAGATCAATGACGGGATTTGGGCCTGTACTCCAGTAACAGCTTTCAGACTGCAGGAAATGTCCGCTGGGAATTTTAATGTGCTCATTAACTGGAGGCTTGTCCATGTTTCAGCTTTTTATGGCTTCTTAAAGGTTGTTCCGCAACATCTGCGTCCGGCCCGTATAATACCAGGATTGGTTTACAGTGCTGTCAAATTTCAGATTGCTGTCCCCTTCAAAGAGAGCCCCGGCCCTGAAACGTTAACAGATCGCGTTTGATTTGCGATTCTGTATGATGGCACATAAATAAAAAAAAACTCTGGTGACAATGAAGTACACTGCCCGGCACAAAAAAAAAAGTCATGCTCTATAATATTTAGTTGGAGCGCCTTTAGCTTTGATTACGGCACACATTCACCATGGCATTGTTTCGATAAGCTTATGCGCTGCCAGAGTTGCATTAGTTTTTCACCAAGGTCTTGCAGTGATGATGGGAGAGTCGGACCTCTGTGTAAAGTCTTCTCCCGCGCCATCCTAAAGATCCTCAATGGGGTTCAGGTCTGGACTCTGGTGGCCAATCCATGTGTGACAGGGACGTGCGGTCAGGTGAGGCAAAGCCTCACCTAGAATTATGGAGGAAAAAAGCTGTCTGCTTCATGTCTGAAGCCGACAGCTTTTTCTCCATTCAGATTGGCTTTTAATAGGTTGCACAGCAGGGAAATCCTCTGCGGTGTAACCTGCCATGGACGGAGCGCCTCAGCAGTGAGGGACAGGAAGGCTCCTCCCTTCCTCCTTTACCATAGCTTGGGGATGGGGCGGGGCTTTGTCCAGCGGGGGCAGGGCTTAGGCAGGCAGGGGGAGGGTCTTCAGACGGCAGGGGTGGGGCTGGGGAATGCCTCAACCGGAGCAAGAGGTACCGCACGTCACTGATGTGTGACAATGATGTCTCATGCTCTCTGAACCACTCTTTCACAATCTGAGCCCGATGAATCCTGACATTGTCATCTGGAAAATGCCCAATGTGCCATCAGGGTAGAAAAAAAATCCATTGATGGAAATACCTGATCATTCAATATATTCAGGGGGGCAGCTGACCTCATTTTGTCGGCACATAACGTTGCTGAACCTAAACCTGACCAACTTAGGTAACCCCAGATCATAACACTTATCCAGTGGAAGGCTCTGACCTGCTTAGCTAAATCCAGGTGGTGACTTTTATTTTTGGGCCAGGCAGTGTAGATTTTAGCACTCGTGTCAGTGTCTGTAATTGAATGTCTTCATACTTCCTGTTTTGGTTTTGTTTATTCCTAAAATTAATGGGCATCTAAAGGAATCACAAAAAAGATTGGTATCAAACCAATCCTATATGGTGCAAACCCCTATTCGAAATGACCCGCGGAAATGTTACTGTTCTGACTTTTTCTGGAGCACCCGGGAACCGTGAACTCCTCAGTTATGAATTCTGATGTGAGCTGAGAGCCTCAGCTGAGCCCCCACCTTCCATTACCCATGCTTGTTTGTTGGTCTAGGACAGGGGTACGTAAACGCTGATTCTTAAGATGTTGTGAAATAATAAATTGTCATCATGCCCTCTGCCTCTGGGAGTCTATGTCTGTGGCTGTCAATGCTTAATGGAATTTGTAGTTGCACCACAGCTGGAGAGCCGGACTTTGCCTGCCCCTGGTCTAGGACAACCTTTTTACCCCAGGGGAACCCATTAAATAATTTTCAAGTCTCGGGGGGAAATTCTGCTAAAACCAATTTACTGGTGTTATTGAGAAAATTGCCCTTTTAAATTGGCTAATTGGGGGAAGAATGCTGCCCCCTTACAGTGGTCGCCATCCTTACAGACAGCTAAAAAGGTTATTGGGTTTATATACCTGGCTCTGCCAAGTGGCATTGACCTCAAGCTATGCAGGCATCATCACATGGGAGGTCAATCAGCCACAACTCAAGGAACCCCTAGCAACCTCTGGAGGATCCGTAGGGTTCAATGGAACCATGGTTGAGAATGGATGGTCTAGGACAATGTTTTCAACATTTTAGGCCAAGGGTGCCTCATTTGGTTTCCTTGAAATTCCCAGAGGGCTGGACATACTAACTGGTATGTGTAATAGTACAGAAGATTATCAGAGACTGTGACATACTACGGGAGATTGTCAGACAGCTGACATAATACAGGAGATTGTCAGATACATCCTACTAGAGAAGGTCAGAGACTGTAGGGAGACTTTAGATATTGTACAGTAGATGGTCAGAGACTGCTGATGTATTACAGCCTATTGTCGGAGACTATAGACACATCCCAACATTTGTGGTTGGAGACATGAGGCAGGAGACTGTTAGGCACCAGCAACTAGTGATAAAAGTATTGATTTGTAAAGAGATTGTAATGTTAGTAATCTTTATCAGGCCCTAAGGGCTACACTATAAGTATAATAAGTGTACCGCCAGTTGAGCACCATCCATCTAGAAGGACGCCCATCATGTTGATGGACCAATGGGGAGGCTTGCAGGTTTAGCTGTGAATTTCTTGGCTCATGTCATCATTCAAATAAATACGGGGCTCCCTGGACACTCGAGAGGAGATCTAGAGATATTTATGGTTGTGATAAGTGTCTGCATTTCATTTCTAATACCGGTTTGCACTGTACAGGCTAATGACAGATGTACTCTCTGTAGCTGTAGAATCTCACCGACAGCGGCACTCCTCCGATTATGTCTCTGATGCTTCCACAAGGACGTGACAAAGATTTCACTCTCTTTATAGAGAATTCATGGGTTATTAATATGCATTGGAGGACCCCATATTTGGGCTTTGTAAATGGCTGATCTTTTGGGTGTAGCCGGGAACTTCCAAATATTTTTTTCAAATGGAGTCGCCCATTAATCACTTTTTTAGGACTCGCTTGTACAGGTCTACCTAATTCTTTCCTGCACCACATCTAAAAATCGATGCTTCTGGGTAGCGCTTATGGCCACCATGTGCAAGATGCTTGGCGCCACACAAATTGATATATGTGCATCTTAAAACACCTTTTAACTGGTGGAATAATAAACAAAATGTACAAATGATGGTCGTTTTTAATATCCATTTTTGTCCATTTGGAATTGCAATAATAATAATGGAGCTTGGAAACTAGATGGGGAATGTTGGAGACTGTTTTCAGGAGCTCCAAGGTTTGGAATATTGGTGTACCTTGCTCCAATGTCATAATCCTGAGCAATCTGATTTAAATGAGACATGTGACTCCTCAAAACGTTTGCCATTGTTAACTGGTTTCAGAATGAATGTTTAGAATGGTATGTTTTATATTATGTTTCATTGGAACAGTCTGCTGTTTTCCAGGTGGGATTATGTATTGATGTTTTGTGTCGTGTTGTGTTTTTGTTTTTTTCCCTTTTTACTGTAACCTCTTCTTTTTATGTTTTCTGTTTTTCATTCCCCGCTTCGGGGACCTTGTTGTCGCTCTGTTTCTGGCTCAGTCTTTTTTCTCTTTTTCTCTAACCTCCCCTTGTAGAGATGGTAAGCAGATGTCTTTGTATTCCCCCCATAGCATGGGCGTACGGGTGATGGACACTTCTTGGGTTGCCCGCCGCGGTTCTTCCTTAGTCCGCAAAGGCCCCTCCACCCCGCCCGCCGTGCAGCCCCCTGCTCCTCCGCTTGAATTCGCAGTCACACCTCAGTCACCAAACCCCGACTTCTCCGTAGAAAGTCCCTCCCCTACTCCTCCCAGTAGCGGCTCCCAGCCGGGTCCTGAGAGGATAAGGTAAGCACTCAACCGCCATCACCTCCACTTTGTCATTTCGCCTCCCTGTCTTTCTGAACACCCTAAGTGCAATTCTCTCTCTGTCAAGACCGCTTTTAGGTTTGCCAACCCGCTTTCCATTTTGGCCACCGTTTGCTAGGTTTTTGTCCTTTTTTACCACGCACATGAAATTCAACAATAACCCAATTTTAAGGCCTTGTTGTCTTTAGTCAAACGTTTTTTATGGTTTTGTATTTGTAACATTTAGATTTTTCTTTTTTTTTAAATAGACCTTTTTTGAGACAAAGTGCTCGCTAATCTTTGTAAGCCAGAAAACCCTCCTCTGTGCACCCCCTGAAGATAGTTTTTCTTGGTTACTAAGGGCTTAGGATTCCTAAATTTTGCCCATGCCTTTCCCACGGACCATCCCTACTGTCCAATTATACCATTACTAGCCTTCAAGGCACTTTCGTTGGACAGGAGGGTGGCATGTGGGTGGGCTTAGTGGCAAAGTCATTGAAGCCATGCCCAATTTTCCTTTTAAAAGTTTAAAATGGAAGACCGATTTACTTTTAAAGAATTTTGAGACACGGCTACAGAATTGTTTTGCTCTCATCAGGTCTACAAGAGGAACTCCGGGAATTTTGAAAAGTATGCCTTGCAGTGTGGCTGTCCCTGCACTCCAAGGGTTAAGTGCTCATTCTGGTCTAGGGGCTAAAATACAGAAGTTCTGCCTGGCTGCTAGACCAATCCCCACAGCCTCCCCCCCCCCACCCCTGGCTTCTGCGGTCTACGGACCCATGACGTTATCATGTCTATAGCAGCTGCCTTAGACATGAGGACGCCATGGGACAGTCCACTGGAGTGGAGTGGAGTGGTGAGCGCTGCATGCTGCAGTACTGAGCATCAGGTGAGTATATCTTATGTATTCCGAGCAGTTAACCCCCTACAGTGCGGGGGTAGCCCCACTTCACGGGTATGTTTTTACAATTCCTCGAGAAGAGTTTAGTTGTTTTTCAGTGTCTCACAAACTGGATCCATTTGGTGATTTACAACACTGAGATCAAGTTCCAGAGGAGACCGGATGGCTGTGTTGAAGTCGGAGCCCCCATCTAAATGATGTATCGTTGGATGCAGACTGGTTGTGACTGGGGGAGCTGACATCCTTACCTATACAGTTCTGTGGCAGCCTATCCCCTACCAACCAGCCTCCGCACAACTGATTTCCGATAAGGGTCTGGAAGTTAATGAGCCTTGCTGCAAATCACTGAACGGACAGCCTCCTGGTATCGTTTCTTAAAGAATGTAATTAAGTTGACCCTGAAAACTTGCAAGTTTTCTAACTTTTCCAGCAAAGAAAGAAAAGTTACGGAAACTAGTCGGGGAGAACCTGTACCGTTTTCAGGAGGCAATTAACTGCATAGACTATACATGCTACAGCTCTTCACATGAGCTTTTATACATATGCAGTATATGCTTGCAAAGAGACGGGCACAATTTCTTTGTTTGGTCCCCGGTTTTGCTACTTTTGCAAAATCTGCTTTATTATATTTCCTTGGTGATGCATTTTGGTGAAAAAAAGGATCCTTTTTTAGATGTTTCCAATATTTATTGGAAAATAGACTCCATTTTGTAAATTTAGGTTTCAAGACCTTTTTAATATCATGTGAAAAATGTAGACTATCTGGCTCCTGGGGGTACCCGGCAGCCATTTTGTCCTAGCTGCTAGTTTCCGGGCTGGGTTGCTCCTATGATATTTGACCCTTTCAGGACCTAAAAGCGGCCTGCTTGCAACACAAAGCGACATCATACTGCTTTGCCATGTGCGTGGCTAGCGGCCTGTGACTCACCCCTCACTCATGGCTGCCGGCTGGTCAGTCATTGCGCCATTGCTGCTTTTTTTTATTTTATAACACGCCCTTCTGCTCCTTTTTTTTTGTCTGTGTGTCCGCTTTAAACAGCTTAGTCCCTCTTGGGCCCAGTAACGCAGGGACATTTCACAAATGCAGTTTCAAAATCAGTAATTTGGATACTGAAGAAACAGAGCTGCCTTTATGTCATCTTAAAGGAACTCTCCACCCAGCTTCAGATCTGCCTTCCACGTTCTTCCTGGTGTTAGAACTTCCCTCTTCCTGCTTTTTCATGATTGGTTAGTCTCTGCTGCAAACCTGGTAAGGCAGCCAATCCTGAAACCGTTAGATTGCACCTGGTGAGGACTTGCAGCTGTTTCAAGGCATAACTTAGCTGGAAGCGGGTGGACAGTCCCTTTTAATATACACACATGAACATATGCAGGATGTAATCTTTTGCATTTGTTGGAATGTGCCATTGTGTGGTTATAGACAAGGTTTTGGGGTCTCCGATCCCCAATTGTGAACTGATCTCATCATCAAGGTCCATGACCATGCACAAAAGAGCGGTGACTTATAGCAACCAATCACCTGTAGAGCTCATGTACACATGTTCTTGTCAATAGACTGCCTTTGACATTCAGACGCAGTGCTGCTTCAACACATGCATTCAAATTTGAAGCATGAAAAGGCTGCGTTTGATCTGCTTGGCTTCTGGGTCAGTCATTACTCAATAGGAGATGCTGCGTCCAAAGAAACGCACGGCAGAGCAGGACAAACCCAGCATCTGAGTCATCTACAACCATACTTCCTCAACAAGGGTGCCACGGCACTGTGATGTGCCTTGAAATTGTCACACACATTGTGTGTCCTGCCTTCCCATGGTGCAGGCCAGCTTCTAAAGTAAAAGGGAGCTCCTGATGTGAAGCTGGAACTCTGATGTGAAAGGGGGGGACTGTGATATGAAAGGGAAGGCTTCTGATGTGAAAAGGAGGCTTCTCATGTTATGGGGGCTCCTAGTGTGAGAGTGAGGACTCTGATGTAGAGGGGCTTCTAATGTAAAGGGGGATACTGGTGTAAAAGAGCAGCTCTGATTAGAAGGGGGGCTCCTGATTTGAAGGAGGAACCCCATTTGTTTGTGTTTTTGCATGGAGTTCCTCCCTTAAAGGAGAACTATGGGGTTAAGGCTTTTCCCCATAGTTCTCCTTAGGGAAATGGGAGGACACAAACTAGCGTCCTCCCATCACCCTAGGCTCAGTATACCGCGAGCTGTAGCTCGCGGTATACTGAGACGCTGCAGCGGATCCCGACAATTGTGCCGGGATCCGCCCAGCTGCGTGACTGACAGCTGGCTCTGCCTATCTAGAGGCAGAGCCAGCTGTACCCGCCCCTCCCCCGTCCGTTCCACCAGTCAGCGCTGGCGGATCGGAGCGGGGAGGGGGGAATCCAGCCCCTCCCCTGTCACGGCAGAGAGCTGTGACAGGATCGAGAAGTGAGCGAACGCCGGTATGTGTTCGCTCACCTCCCGATCTACTGAGCTGACCTGTGACAGTCTCATTGTCACAGGCCGGCTAGAACTATGAGGTGAGTGAAAAGCACCCCCCCCTCATAGTTCTCCTTTAATCCATTCCAGATCCTTTTTTGGGATAAAGTTCTGGTATGGATTTTGTAGGGGCCACTTGCCATTTTTAACATTTACATGTTTTACATTTTAGACTAGGGGTTCCTCGAGATTTTTGCATACAAGGGTGCCGCCACTAAAAGAAAGCTGAAAAACATTGATCTACACTACTCAATTGAAGTCAATTGACACCCATGTACTGTACATGAGCCATTATTGTACCTTGGTGTAGACAACTCATGAGTGATTTTTTTTTTTCTGGTTGCTATAAGGTACTGCACCCTAAATGATAAGTCTGTTGGAGAAACCCATGACATGGAATGGAATATACAACGCATTAGGGTTATTTTAATAGGCAATGTTTTTTGGGGCATTTTGGCCGGTGAAGTGTGCTAGAAGGCAATGTTTGTAGGCGTAACTGTTCTTTTTTTTTTATGCTGCTCTCCTGAAAGTTTTATTTTATTTTTTCTTGGCATTCCTACCACTGAAACATGTTTTTGAATCGGGCACATTCAGCTAGACCCCAGCACAACAGTAATCAAAATATTCCTGTGTTTCCAAAATGTGTCCTTAGGAGCCAAGACTTCAAATCCCTGCATATTAGATTGTGTCTGCTTTTATGTTGTCTCTGTACAGAAATGCATGTTTGTATGTGTTTGTGCGTGTTGGCTATACGTGTTGTGTCCGCAGCTACCATGATATCCGCACTCAGTCGCTCTGTGTTTTTACAGCGCAATGGCTTTCTCTCTAATTTCTGCCTTTTAATTTCCAGCCCTATGCGTTTTCGCACTTCATATCATAACTTTGTACTTGTTTGGGTTCTTCCTTGTACAAATATTTTTGCTCTTGTTTTCTATGTTTTATTATTTTTTCGTTGTTGTTCCTGTGTCCTTTCTCTCCGCACCCCAACACCGAAACAGCGGAGATGAGATTTCGCCCCAGTGGTTGGATTCCTGTTACATCTACCCTTCCCCTGAAGAAGACCGACCCCTCTCGTACCCATCCTCACAGCACCCTACCCTCCATCCTCACCCTCCAAAAGCTCCGCCATCTGTCAGGCCTGACGCCACCTCTACCTTTCGGTGGGCTGGTTACAGCCAAACTTTGCCTCCTTCCCCTCCGAAGCTTGACATAAACTCCAACCCTAAACCTTGCTTTTTGCACCTCACTAAGCAAAGCTCCCTTTCTGAAACTCACGCTTCCGAGCCTAACGTCTCACCCCTTTACATCAAAACCCCACTCGTCCTAACCAAACCCGACCCATCTGGTAACCCTAACCTACCCGCAATGTCTGCCTCGCCCCCATGGCTCAGCTGTTCCTGTGCTCGAGACAAAGGAACCAAGCTGACTAGGTAAATAAAAAAAATAAAAAAGATCTGCTGTGTATCTAATAAAACTGCCAGGCCATGGAAAAGATGTAGAGTTCAAGGGCTTACTAGATCAAGTCAATGTTCATTTTGGCAGGTAATCTTCCGAGCAGCTCGGATAAATTCTGTAGATTTTCAGTCACTTTGTGCTTAAGCTGTAGGAAATTCTCCCAAAGGGCTTGAGAGGCTTAAAATATCCGTAGGGGGGTCTGAAGGCAACAAATTTCAAGTGCGCTTCTGTGCACAATGAGTCAGCGGCATGAGTCAGTCTCGCCGTCGTGAAGTCTGTTGACTTGCAGAAAATAGTTCCTTCTACAAGAATTGAACAGATAGAAGAGAGGATTCAATGATCAGTGGCAGAGGAATAATGGAAGGGGTGGTAAAGCTGGGTTAGGCAAAGACGGTTGTCCCCTTACTTGTGTGAAATCAGATATGTGTAATTTAATTGTCAAACAAAAAAAGGATGAAATCTTGTAAAATTGTCAGCGATATTTTCTCAACTCGCCATGATGGCGATTCCAATGTAAAAAAAAAAGGAGGGGGTGGGGGAAATTACAATGACATTAATGGACAAGGTTCATATAATGGAAAAAAGTTGATAATAGAAATAGATTTTTTTTTGAGCTGCATTATACAGTATGAAAGATATTTCTCTACATGGTTCTGTATGGAACTTTGAGCAACTGCTAAAATTCCACATACATAGTTGCCTCTTCTTCTTTTTTATGAGAAATGCTTGAAAATAGAATTGTTGCAAATGCAGCTTGTTTTAGAAGCCTCCCAACCTCTCCAGTATCGTAAGCTGAAATCCAATCCTATATCTAGCTAAATTAAAAAGAAAAACTCAGATTCCTAATAACTTTCCGGAAGAGCCATGCGAATACAATGTTAAAGGAGGAGGCTGGAAGGTTCTGTAACGTATATGCAGGGCCGGATTTACTCTCTTTGCTGCCCCAAGGCCGGGTTCCTCAATGCGCCTCCCTACCCGCCAAACCTCCCCCCCACACTTGTACAAAACAAGCGGCGGCTTCCCCGCTGTACATTTAGCTCTGCTTGCTCAAAGCAGGGCTAAATGTAGAAAACTACCCGTCCGGGCATCGGGAGATAGGAATTCCACACCCCTGCTGCCCCTCTACTCCCTGCTGCCCCGAGGCCGGGCCTTGGTTGGCCTTGTGGGAAATCCGGCCCCGTGTATATGGTTCTGAAAAATATTTATAGGTCTTTAGGATGAAGTGGGCACTAATTGGCCGGCTGTCAGATAAAATATTGATCGCTGGTTTTTAATTCTCAATTATAGTCTTCAAAATTACAAAAAAAAAAATGAAATGTAGAAAGAAACAACTTAATAGATTCTGTTAATGTTTGGGCCAAGATAGCGCTGACCTGTCAGGGTAACTTTTTTTTTTTTTCATGAATGTCACAAATTTCTTTTGCAGTACGTTAAAAGGGAAAGAGCTTTCTCCAGTTTCTGGACCAAAGGGAAGTCCAAGCACGGGTCATATGGTGTCTGCAGGTGGAATAGGGCTGAGCCAGCTTTCAACGGAACAAAGTCCCCATTCCCTTAGGAAAGGTACTTCCTAGATATATGATTTAGTATGCCAATAGACTTCTGGCTGGTTGGTGATAAGAGCCTTAATATCGTGTTTGTGAAGGACTTTTCTCTACAGACATCAAGGGAACCTACTACCTTATTGGGGTAAAATCCAAAAAGTATGAATTTTGCAAATGAACAATCTTAACTGATCTCATGGTTTTCAACTTTTTGTTTTTTATTTTCGCAGCATCCAAGAAACTTGCACCGGTTCCGCCTAAGATAACTTACACCCAGACAGGAGCAGTGTCGGACCAATCAACGGGTCAGCCTTCTCCTGTCAGTCTTTCCCCAACCCCACCCAGCACACCATCTCCTTATGGACTCAGCTACCAAGGCTCTCTTTCTTTGACCCCAAACCTGGCTTCTCCCCCACCTGTGACCAGCACTTTAACAAAAGCCCGTCCTACTCCTAAACCACGGCAAAGGCCATCTCTTCCTCCGCCCCAGCCACCAAGTCAGTCTGCTTCCAGTCCTCCGTCTTCGGAGAACAGTATCTTAGATGGCTTGTCTCCTGGAGATAGTATGTCTACAGGTAAGCAGATTTCATCCTATGTTCTGCCTCTGGAGATGTGTGTGTATATATATTCAAACTCTACCATATTCCTTAAGATTCTTAAGCACTTAAATTACTGTTTAAACATTTTGACCTGAAGATCCAAGTTAACTCTTCAGGTCAACCTCTCTGAAGTCTCTCGAAAATAGACAAAAAATAATAATTAAGGTTCACTGTTAATAACAAGACGGAAATATGCCGATATTCTTCTCTCTCAATCTCCCTCAAACGAAAGCACTAAGTGGTTGTTTTTTTTTGTTGTGTTCCCTTTGTCTCCCCTCGTTCTCCCTTCCCGTTTCCTCGCAGCCGTTTGACGTTGAGTGGCGCTGTGTTGGATATGTGTGAGGGGGAGTCTCCTGGTAAGCTAGAGCTTCAAGCGTTTCACAACCGCCTTGACCATTCACTTTAAGGCAACCGAAAAAATGATCTGTTGAGCACCCTGTCGGTCATAGTGTTCTCACCATATGCATAATTCCTTTCAAGTTTTCTGAATTATTATTTCCCTTAGTTCTCTTAATATTAATATGCCAAACCATGAGGTTTTAAATCTGTGCACAACTATTGTGTTTTCTGATTAGCAAGACTACTGATTGGTCTTTTCCAAATTTTGGGGGGCCCTACCCTTGTAAGGTATTATGGTTATGCCTATGATGGAGAATGTGCTGGACCTATGGGGATATCAAGTACAATTATAACCTGTTTTTATTTTCTCCAGTCAACTTTGGTTGCCCACCCATGCTAAACCGTTGCCTCTTTTCCATTCTTGGCCTGACTCCCAGTTGATGTTTGTACATGTAGCTGTCTTGACTAAAGCAAATGGAGGCTGCTTTTGGGAATGAACGTACCACTCGCTGCACATCCAATGCATTCTTTGGCACCCTGTGACATCATACTCATACTCCACACTGCTTAATACTACCGTATGTTCATTTTCAAGAGCGTTCCCAACTCTAATTATACTGCGCCTGGTTGGCATTGCTGTGGTAACAGATGTTCTGGAAAGCGGAATAGGGCTTTCGGTGAGCAGTAGCAGACAGCTATGTGTATGACCTCCCTTAAGGTGGCAGGCTTCGCATGAGCCTGCCACTCAACAACGCATGGCTTAGCCTTTTAACGCTTGACAGACATGTCCACCAACACAAGGGTGTAACCAGGAAGGTGTGCAGTGTCGTACCCTGTGCTTCTAGCTGTTGTTTTGTTGCCTGTACGAACCAATGTGTTTGTTGTAGGTTGGTTTTTAAGCCATTGTAACCTGATGTTGGTGAGATGTCTATCTCATGTTCTGTCGTATTTTGGCAACATTTGGTGTCTCAACTGTAAAGGTTTCAACTCTTTGTATGGTTGTGTTAGCTGTTTTTTACTTGTTGGTAATACCCTAACACACTTAAAGGAGAACTATGAGGTTAGGGCTTTTCCCCATAGTTCTCCTTAGGGTAACGGGAGGACACAAACTAGCGTCCTCCCGTCACCCTAGGCTCGCGGTATACTGAGACGCTGCAGCGGATCCCGACAATTATGTCTGGATCCGCCCAGCTGCGTGGGTGACAGCTGGCTCAGCCTATCTAGAGGCAGAGCCAGCTGTACCCGCCCCCTCCGTTCCGCCAGTCAGCGCTGGAGGATCGGGGAATCCAGTCCCTCCCCTGTCATGGCAGAGAGCCGTGACAGGATCGAGAGGTGAGCGAACGCCGGTATGTGTTCGCTCACTTCCCGATCTACTGAGCCGACCTGTGACAGTCTCATTGTCACAGGTCGGCTAGAACTATGAGGTGAGTGGAAAGCACTCCCCTCATAGTTCTCCTTTTTAAGGAATAATTTTACAGCAAAATTTTACACTATGCTGCCAAAAGTTTGTGGATCCCTGATCATCCCACCTACACTATATGGCCAAAATTATGAGGACCCCCCCTAATTTATTCAGTCAAGGTGTTGCCAGTGACTACAGCATGCAAAGACATTTTATACAATTGCGCACATCCAACCTTGTGCTAACAGTCTGGGGAAGGCCTTTTTCTGTTCCAGCACAGAGCCAGCCCCACAAATACATGGTTTGAATAGTTTGGTGGGGAGGAACTCAGTTGGCCTGCTCACAACTTTTATTAAACACCTTTTATGAATTTGAACGCTAATTGCTATCTGGGTCTTCTGGTGCAACATCATTATCTGACCTCACAAATGGTCTTTTGGCTGAATTTCCAACAGACGTACTGTGAAAATCCTTTCCAGAACAGTGGAGGCTAAATCAATGCCCAATGTTTTGGAATGGGATGTCCCAACAAGCTTATATAGGTGTCAAGGTCGGGTGGCCACAGAGGTTTGATCATACAGTTTATTTTAAATGTTATTGCACTTGGATGATGTCATTATTTATAAAAGCGAAAAATAAGTTTCACAACAAGCAAATCGTTTGCCTGCACCCTCAAAACTGCTACCTCATTTCCCATTCAGCTGATGAGTGTGGTAGGGCAAACCTTTGCTCTTGGGTGGGGACTAAAACATTCAATTAAGATTGATAAGAGAGGTTTGTTAACGAGCTCCAAAAAAGGAAGTTTATTACAACTCCTAAACTGGCTTTTCAACAAATCAATCAATATTTTCACATGTGCTACATTCACCCAAGCCTAAGGCCTCATTCACACGCAACGCAAGAGCAAAATTGTATATTGTGTATATACGCTTCTTTACGAGCGTATGCGTGCACTATTTGCATTCCCAGAATGCATCATTCCTAATAGAAATTTTAAGGAACTGTACATACACACATATATATATATAAGCTGCCCGGACGCATCTCTGTTCCATTCTGTTTTTGCGCATATTTACGCTACGCAAATATGCGGCTATGTGTATGGAGCCATTTATTTTCATATGGTACAGTACGTGCGGCAGTGTGAATGAGGCCTAAGGCGGAAATGCACCCCTACGCTTAACCTGAACCAAACCCCTAAACCTAACTCATCACCTGAACCCAAAGCTAATCCCTAAACATACCTGTTAGCCTTAATAGTTCTCCTAAGGGTCACGGGAGGAGGTTAGTATATGTCCCAAAGCTCAGTATACCGCGAGCTGTAGCTCACGATATACTGAGACTGCCGCAGCCGGAGCGGATCCCGACATTACTGTCGAGATCCGCCCAGCTGCGTGAGTGACAGCTGGCTCTGCCTATCTAGAGGCAGAGCCAGCTGTACCCGCCCCCTCCCCCGTCCAATCCGCCAGTCAGCGCTGGAGCATCGGAGCCGGGAGGGGATCCCTGCAGCGAGCCGTCACTGACCTCTCTATAGGGAGATGATTGAGAAGTGAGCGAGTGACGCTATGTGTTCGCTCACTTCCCGATCTATTGAGCCGACGTGCGACAGTTTCATTGTCACACGTCGGCTCGAACTATGAGGATGAGTGATTTTCACTCACCTCATAGTCCTCCTCCTTTTTAATGTAAGAAGGATTAAAAAAAAAAAAACCCTTGCAGTGGGTTAAGAGCTTGTTTTGTCTAGGGGTGAAAATAAAGAAGAAATAATTACCAGATCCTCAGTCCCACCTGGCTGCTAGGCCAATCCACGCAGCCTCTTCTCGCCCCCTGGGCTCCGGTGGTCTAGGGGGAAGTGACATCACCATGTCTAATACAGTCCATTAGATGTGAGGACCTCGAGGGACATACCGCAGCTGGAGTTGAGAGGTAAAGTAGTGAGCGGTCACTGACGCAGGACCGAGCTTCGGTTGAGTATTTCTTCTTCTTTATTATCGCACTTGGAACAAAACAAGCACTAAACTGCTTGTTTTGGCAAGCACTTAAGAAGAGACTGCTCTCCTAATTTCAAATACAAACACCTCCTCCTATGGACTAGGACACTGGCAAAAACAGCTATTTCTTTATAGTCCATTAAAGGCCGCAGGAATTGTATTACAGTCGGGTTTTACTGTCGCCTACAGGAGGCTGGGACACTGATGGAAAAGCAGGAAAGCCCACCCCCAGTAATAACCCCAGCTCTACCCAGCATGCTACAGTCCTTTTGTTTAGTGTCCTAGGAGGTTGGATGCCTTTGCGTCAGCTCTGCTAAAAGAAAAGTTGAATTATTTTCTTGCTTGCCTTTTAAGACCAAGAGGTGTATCCACCCAGCCCTGTTTGTGTCGCCACACTCTGGGACCTCTGGTTTCACCATTTTGGCCGTTTCCCAGCCAGTCAGCAAGGAGCTGCTTCCCGTGCAATCAGGAAGAAGGGTGGCGAGTAATGTTCCCCTACGGCACTGCCAGAAGTTCCGGTATCGGGGAAAGTATCATAGCATTTGGGCACAAGTGCTCGCCCAAATACTCAGCACTGATACCGATTAGTAATATCTCCCCCGTCCGTTCCACCAGTCAGCGCTGGCGGAGCGGGGAATCCAGCCCCTCCCCTGTCACGGCAGAGAGCCGTGACAGGATCGAGAGGTGAGCGAACGCCGGTATGTGTTCGCTCACCTCCCGATCTACTGAGCCGACCTGTGACAGTCTCATAGTTCTAGCCGACCTGTGACAATGAGGATGAGTACATAGTTCTCCTTTAAGTCTGCTCAGGTGTGTATGAAACATGTTACATTTATTTCATTGATATGGCAAAAACCTAATGCAATAATAATATATATGAGAGAATAGGCCGCCGCATTCTATAGAAAGGTGACAGATTTGGTGGGTTTTCAGTGAAAGTTTTCAGCATTGGACATCTCAGTACCCCCCAGAGCACCCCTATAAGCAGAGCCGGAGGTAGAATATGAACATTATTTGGTATATGATTTTGATTCATTACTCAAAACTAACAAACTAGGACAATTCTTACTGATCATATCACAAGTTCTCATAACAAAAAAGAAATAACTATAATTGAAGAATTAGTTTATTGGCCTCCTGCCTAGCAGAGTGCAGCAATGTTTGTTGGAACGTCTTTGTGTGCCACATCCAACCGATGGAACGTCTGCGGCCGCTCTATAACCGCTTTCTCTTTCACCTGCTTTGCCTTTCAGATATCATCCATTTTGACATTCCATCTATCCTCATAGAGATTGACACCGCCTTGCAACGCGACGCCATGAAAGAAGAACAGCAGCGGCGTTCGGCGGAGGGCAGGACAGAGTCGGAGGAGGAGTCTGAGAGTACTGCCCTCTGACAGTGACTACACCTTGTGCCCAGTGTGACCAACAGCCAAACCTGTGCCAATTCCTGCAAATGATCCCCCAACGGGCTTTGTGAGGGGGTGGGGGGTGGGGCGCCTTCCTGAGGACAGGCCTTGACGACGCAGCGGTTTCAGTCGTCTCACTCGCCCCACCGAAACATTAAAAAAAGGGAATTTGTCTAAAACAATGCAATGTCCACGTTTGGTGTGTTGACGTCTGTTGGAGCACTGAGACGGGTAACAAGGTGTCAACGTCCAGTATTGTACTTCATTATTATTAATGTGTCCGCCGTTTTATAGTAGTCCGTGCTGCTATCCCCCTCCCACAAATCTCCCCACATCCTGGAACGGAGGGGTCGCTGATCAATGCTGCAATGTGAGGATTTCATGCGCCGCAAACTTCTTTTTTTTTTTATTCCCAGGTCTTAAAAGTCTCTTAATTGCATAATACCGCGCTTTGCCTCTTTTAAACTTGGATTATTTCAATGTTTGTGAATATTTATTCAGACTCGGAGTTGTACATAAGTTTAGGCAGGCCTCATATCTGCTGAAATTGCATCTGGTATCTTAAAAATAACATCTCATTTTTTATTTTTTTTTTACTATGCCTATGACGACGCCCCCATTTTTAATTTAAACTATTATGTAACTATAAACGCACAAAAAACAAATTATTAAAAAGGGCCAAAAAAACACTTGTGTTCACAATTATAATCTAGAACAAGGCGCGAGCAGATTTAAGACCCCCAATTTAATATCATTTAAAAATACCTAAATTGCATTATAAATAGTAGATCCAATGGTGTTTGTAGTAATAATGTAATTTTAGGTATTTATTAATAATAAATGTTCTAGAATATTACATTGTGAACACAAGGTGTGAGCAGATTTATTAAAAAATACCTAAATGACATAAATAGTACATCCAATGGTGTTTGTAGTAATAATGTAATTTAGGTATTTTTTAATAATAATAAATGGGGGGGTCTTAAATCTGTTCACACCTTGTGTTCACCATGTTACATGTTACATTGTGAACACAAGGGGTGAGCAGATTTAAGACCCCCAGTTTAATGTTATTTAAAAATACCTAAATTGCATTATAAATAGTAGATCCAATGGTGTTTGTAGTAATAATGTAATTTAGGTATTTTTTAATAATAAATTGGGGGTCTTAAATCTGCTCGCGCCTTGTGTTCACAATGTAATATTCTAGAACAAGTGTTGTTGTTTTTTGCCCTTTGTAGTAATAAAACACACATTTTAAAAAAAATTAAAAGGGCAAATTACAACAACGCTTGTTCTAGAAATTACATTGTGAACACAAGGCGCGAGCAGATTTAAGACCCCCAATTTATTATTAAATACCT